CCACGGGCTCAGGCAATCCACTCACCTCAGCCTCCCAAAGCGCGGGATTACAGGCTGAGCCACCGAGCCTGGCTTCACAACAATATTATAGAGATAATTCAATGATAAATTTCTGTAATAAGCAAAATGAGACATAAAATAACTCTACAGCTTGCCCAAGGTGCATGGACAGTTTAACTGGAAAAAACAGCAGGAGAAGATAGACTTCATCATCATTGCCTTCTTTCTAACACTTCTTCCCTCAGAAGGAGCTCTTTAATTAGCAAACCCTGTTTTATTATTGAATTTTTTTTCCCTTTAGAAACTTACAATAACACCAAATTGCAACAACAATAAATCCAGCTGCAAACAGCATTACAAGTGCCCTGGAGAATTCCACGGTGACTTTTGCCTGTAATCCCAGCACTTTGGGAGGTTGAGGTGAGAGGACTGCCTGAGCCCAGGGTTCAAGACCAGCCTGGGCAACTTGGTGAGACCTTATCTCTACAATAAAATAAAAAAATAATTAGCCAGGTGTGGTGGTGTGTGCCTGTAGTTCCAGCTACTTGGAAGGCTAAGGCAGAAGGATCATCTGAGCACAGCAGGTCGAGGCTGCAGTGGCCGTGAACCACCGCACTCCAGCCTGGGCAAAAGAATGAGACTCTGACAAAAAAAAAAAGTGTCGTTTTACAAAAGTCAGCATAATTTGACATTCATGTTTGTTAAATCTGAAAAGTGCAGTAAATAGAAGTCTTTGTTTTACATATATTTTACATATATGTTTTTAAATGAAATCCTCAAAGTTGGTTTCCATTTTTTAAGTTATACTATACCTAGAGCTCCTTTGTATTTTAGTAACAGAGTTGCTGATGAAGATTTCAGAATATTATATGAAACCAAACCCAAGTTCTATTTTATCTTACCACTGAAGGCCTATGGGTAAGGTCACGTAAATAAACGTGAGGTCACAGTATATTCAATGACCATAATGACTAGTCAAAGAGTAGGCACTATGCTGACAATCAAAAATAGCTAATATCATCAAGAGTTCAACATTAATGCATTTTGCATGGTAAGAACACTTAAATTTTACCAGCTCCCATGTATCTTTTCACTAAACTCAGAGGGTTGCCAAAGAATTAACAGCAACATTTGCAGAATACTCCATTCCCTTAGAAGTATTTAAATGCTAAATCTTGACAAAAGACATAATATTTTCAAAATCATTAGAATTTCTGTACAAATTAAATCTAAAAGTGCACCCATGGGAGCAACTAACATGCTCTTTTTACCGAAAAGATATACACATGAAAATATCTGGAAACAAAAAAAAATTTTAGATAAAGCTTAGTATTCATGCATGTGGTTAAAAATAATAATAAATTGCCAAGTGCAGTGGTTCAAGCCAGTAATCCCAGCACTTTGGGAGGCTGAGGCAAGAGGACTGCCTGAGGCCAGGGGTTCGAGACCAGCCTGGGCAACTGTGAGACTTATTATGAGACCTCGTCTCTACAATAAGTCAAAAAAAATAGCCATACATGGTGTACACACCTGTAGTCCCGGCTACTTGGAAGGTTGAGGCAGAAGGATCGCCTGAGTCCAGCAGGTCGAGGCTGCGGTGGCCATGAGTGTGCCACTGCACTCCAGCCTGGGACAAAGTGAGACTCCAACTTAAAATAATAATAATAATAATAATAATAAATAAGTAAATAAAGAGAAGGCAGACTAAAATGATTAAATCAAATGTGAAATTGGTAAATGTTGCCTAAAGTTAAAGACTATTTTTATCATCTTGGAAAATCTGTGCTCAGGTCTCACCGAAAGCACTGTAACTGCAAACAACAAAACTGAGTCTGCTTTATAAAACATGTCCCCACTAACAAAGTTTCCACTAACTGCATCTCATCTATATATTGCTGCAAAGGTTGTTACCAAAATGAATGATACACAGCAACATTCAGAAAAACACTAAGAAGACTATAAATCCTGCTGAATGTTCTAACAGTCATAGAAAAATATTTAGGCCACCCTCAATTTAGGCATGTATGCATGGAAAAGTGGTCCTACCCGAGTACTAACCATCAACATCATTAATACTCTCCAGTTCCACAGAAAAGATATCTTACAGAGAAAATATCGAAACAAAAATACGTTTTTACAATTTCTAAGCGCTTAGAAGAAACCCTAAGCAAAGTTTCCCTCTTGAAAACAAGATGTAAATATCATAAAACCATCAGTGAGCACTCATTAAAGCAGTATTTCTAACGCTGATATGGGCGTACGGTGGTGAGAAGGAAGTCAGCGTTCAGTAAAGTCAGAGACAACTTTTCATCCATTAATGGCAATAAGTTAAAAACCATGAGGGTCCTTCCAATGCTGAACGCTGGCGATCTGAAAACATCATTGAATGATTAAATACTGCAGAATTCAAACAGGACCTGCAGTGAGTGAAAACCCAGCAAACACCCTAGTTCTTTCTGAACTATGACCTAAATCGCGAATCACTATAAAAAGAACAGACCACACATTCAACTGGTCTGCTCAGCCTCAAATGTGCAAAGGTCTGACAGTCCCCGAGATAAGACACAAGGAACCTAATACGACAGTATGGTCATTTTAAGTCATCAGAATGTCTGGAGAAGCAGTGAGTGAGGAGAAACAATCAGAGAGGCGGAAAGAGTGGGGGAGGGAGGGAGGCGGGCGGCAGGGACGGGCGTTGTGTCTGCAGCAAAGGCTACTTACTGGAAGCCCAGCTGGTCCAGGAGGCAAAGTTGGGAGGTGAAACTGAGCAAGTCCCGGACCGCGGCAGAGGCCGGCGGGACCAGCCACTGTGGATTTCCCACCTTCCCCGAACTTGAAGTGCCGGTCTCCCCCAAAGCTCTCCCTGCGACCCCCAGCCACTTTTAGGATGCGGGGGGAGGGTGTAACTGGGTGATGAGTGCCCAGGGGAGCTCCCTTCCCCAGTTATCCGACCCACACAGGACAGACACCACCCCGAGGGGTGGGACAGACGCCGGGACAGCAGGGTGGGCGCGCGGCGGGGGAGGGGCGGGCGCCCATTCTGAGCGCGGCCACTTACTTGGACGCGCTGGGTACGAAGAAATCCACCGCGAAGCCGAAGTAACTTCCCTCGGGGCCCGAGTACTCGGCGGGGCTGTCCACGTCCAAGTTGAAGGCGACGCACAGAGGCAGCAGCAGCCCAGGGAGGAGCAGCGGGAGGCGGCGGGGAC